AAAAAAAAAAAAAAAATGCCATCATGGCAGCATCTTAACCTCCCATTGCCTTGACTCTGCAATAGAAATGCTCTGTGCTGCCAACTTGTCACAGAACACACAGATGCAAAAGCAGAGATTAATGCCACCCTGGAAGTCACAGTTTCAGGACTCAACTGGTCCCTTGCTGCTGCCAGCAATTCTTTGGCTATTCTGTTGTGCTCAGAGATTTTCACACTTTTTTTCTTCTCTCTTGGGGGACTGGGGATTGAACTCAGGGGCACTGGACCACTGAGCCACACCCCCAGCCCTATTTTGTGTTTAACTTTATTTAGAGACAGGGTCTCACTGAGTTGCTTAGTGCCTTGCTATTGCCAAGCCTGGCTTTGAACTCACGATCCTCCTGCCTCATCCTCTGTAGCTGTTGGGATTACAGAAGTGCGCTATCAGGCCCGGCTTCTCTGTCTCTTCTAAACTATTATCTCTAGCCTTGAGCACACTGTTTAACCTTTCTGAACTTTTTAAAGTAACAGATTTTATTACCTTGTTTTATTAATGAAATCAATCAATAAAAGATTTTCATTATTCTTTAGTATTTTCATTTACTATTTTTTGAGCTGCTAAATAAATATCCTGTACTAGACAAAACATTTGGGACATAAAAATATGAGCCAGGTGCAGTGGAACATGCCTATAGTCCCAGTCACTTGGGAGGTGGAGACAGAAGGATTGCAAGTTTGAGGACAGTCTCATCAATTTAGCAAGATCTTATCTCAAAAATAAAAAAGGGCAGCTCAAAGGTAAAGTGCTTGCCTAGAATGCTTGAGGCCTGGGGTTCAACATACATACTATTATTTTATTTTTAAAATAATACTAAGAGTTTAAAGAATTTATAATAGTTGTACTAAGGAGTAATATTTAAAAAAATAATAGTATATATGTTACTGAACAATACCAGCACATCCCACAGTAGCTAATGAACACTAAAAAGATTTTATTTAGCTGCATAGTTCATATTAGGTTTTTTCTTTTTTTTTGTACTGGGGATTGAACCCAGGAGTGCTTTACCACTGAGCTATATCTCCAGCCCTTTGTAATTTTTTTTTTTTTTTTAAATTTTGAGACAGCCTCACTAAGTTGCCTAGAGTCTTACAAAGTTACTGAGGTTCATTTTGAACTTTGGATCTTCCTGCTTCAGCCTCCTGAGTTGCTGGAATTACAGGTGTGTGTCACTGTGCCTGGCTCATACTATAGTTTTTGTATCCCCTTTCTCTTCATATCTTCAACCCTCTCACTAACAACTCTCCTCTCTTCCACTCCCATCTCAGCAAATGATTCTGCGTCTATCTCATGAAGAATTCAGACAATTGATACTGTGGGATAGGAATATAACTCAACTTCTTTCACCACACATACACCTCCTTGCATCTATCCCCAGCCTTTCCTCTTGCCCTGGGCACACTGGGAAGGTGGTTTTCTGCACAGGGCTCCTGATCCCACCTCAAGCCTCCCCAGGAATTTTCTACTTCCCTCTTCTTTTTTCTTATAATTCATTTTTTTTAACTTTGACACCCCACAAACAAGTCCCCTTCTCATCACAGCACTTAAACATTCTCAAATCTCTCCCTTCATAAAAATTTTTGACTATTCAGATCCCTTTCTGCCTTTAAAAGAGCCAAAATTCTTGAAAGAATTATGTTCACTCATTCACTTCTGTCTGACTCCATCCCCACTGGAAAACAGTCCTTCAAAATCTAATAGCCACCAGGTATGGCAGCACACACCTATAATCCCCACTACTTGTGAGACTGAGCAGGAGGACTGAAAGTGTGAGGCTAGCCTTAGAGGGTTAGTGAGCTAGGTGCAGTGGTGCATGCCTGTAACCCAGCGGCTCAGGAGACTGGGGCAGGAAGATCTCGAGTTCAAAGTCAGCCTCAGCAATGTCGAGGCCCTAAGCAACTCAGTGAGACCCTGTTTCCAAATAAAATACAAAATAGGGCTGGGGATGTGGCTCAGTGGTTGAGTGCACTTAAATTCAATCCCTGGTAACCGCCAGCCCCTGAAAAATAAAGAAACTTAGCGAGACCCTGTCTGAAAATAAATATCAAAAGGGCTAAGGATGTACCTTAAATAGTAGAGTGTTCGCCTTATATGAATAGCCCTGGGTTCAGCCCCCAGTTCTACAAAACAAAACCAAAAGGAGCACCTAATAGCCTTTTGCATTTTTGTCTGTTTTTCTGCTTGTTCCTTTGCAGTGCTGGGAACTGAACCCAGGGCTGTAGGCATGCCAGGGGAGCGCTGTCTCTCTGAGCTACATCTCCAGTCCTCTGTGCTTGTGTGCGGTGGTTTTGTTTTGTTTTTGAGGTAGGGTTGTGTCCCCAGGTTGGCTTCATATTCCCAGGCTGAAGTGACCCTCTTGCCTCAGCTGCCTGGTAGCTAGGACTATAGGCCACTGAACTCCTAACAGCCTTTTTACTCAATTTAGGCAACATTTATATTATTTTTTTTCCACTGATTTTCTTTC